TTATTACAGGGAATAGATCAAAGCAAGATCAGCAAAGGGAATGGTACGTGGAGTTGTGTCCAGAAGAAACCAGGTGAAGCTTCCAAGAGTCTTATCCCAGTGGAGTCACACAGGACCATTCTTAATTCTTCTAGCAACACATTGTGCCAACATGTGTGAAATGTGGTCCACCTGGAAGCCTGACTCAGCCCAGAATTCCAGGGTTTTTTTTCAACTGTCAGAAATGGAGGCACTGTCTGCCTAGCACATACCAAAATTTCAGAGCCCTAGAAGGAAATCAGATGTTCAGCACAAACCAAATTGTACAAATAGTTTAAGCTCAGTGAACCACTCTTATCAGGGTGCAGTCGAACTCCCCAAATCCAACTTCCCAGACACCAGCCCAGGACAACCCTGTGAGCACGCCTTTCCGAGGATAACAGTCTTAGCCCTATAATGTTAGTTCTTTTCTATGTTTTCTGACCCCTAACTATGTTTCCTGCACAGGAAGTACATTCGATATTTTTCTACTGCATTTCTACCCCAAGGTTAGAGACTTATTAAGGGTCTTAGTGTTTAGGAGTAAATAGCTTTGTCATTGAGACATGTGCCAAAGGATTCTCACGTTCCAGGTGAGGCAGGTGAAGTCCGCACAAACTGCTGCATCTTCATTAGGTTAATCAAAATATGATAACGTTGAAGACTTCCTCTCCAACTTGCACAGGGTCAGGTACTGTGGGTACAAATGGTGAGCAAAACCAGCCATGGTCTGTGCCCTGATGGAGCTCACAGTCTAGTGAGGAAAGAGAGACATTAACTAAATAATCACAAGGAGAAATATTTAAAGACAAAATTTGAAATCTTCTGTGAAGGAAAGACATGTAGTACAATGAGAACAAAGTGTGGGCATCAAACATGGTCTGCAGGAGCAGGGAAAGTTGCTCCCAGGAAGGGGCGTTTGCACTGAGCCTTGTGGGATGAGTGGTAGGGGGCGTTGGTATTGGAGGTGGTGAGGGGAAGGAGGAGAGGTAGAGAAAGAGTCCTAGGGTTAACGCATAAGGATAAAATAAATGAAATGTGCCAGAACCTCAGGGCACTGGAAGAACACCACCAATTTTTTTTTTTTAAATCTTCTCAAGTAGTTCTGTATCTGCTTACAGAGTTTCTACAAAGGGACTCTGAAGTTCTTCAGGGTAGCAGCTTAATTTCAGACCAACAAGAAAGGGATGTGGAGATGTAGCTGGGGGAGCTGGGAGCCCAAGCACATCTGCAAAGAGCTGCTTCGAGCAGAGGATCTGGGGCTTCTCTGATAAGCGGGGAGTTATGGAGGTGTTTTCAGATCTAGAAGCTTCCATTTGAAATCTCACACACCACCTCTTAGCAAGTCCATTCTCCTTCAGGGTTTTACAAAACATCCTGAGGTCCTGTACCCACCGTTGTGAGGGAACCACAGCCCATCCTTCTCACTGAAAAGCCCAGTGCTTTCTCCAAGAGGCACCTTGAGCGACCCACACAACCTCTGCTCTCCATTCCCTAGACCCAGAAATGGAGAATCCCAGTGTCTGGGTCCCAATCTGAGTTCAGTTCAACAAATATTTATTCATATGTTTATGAAGCTCTCCTAGACACTAGCTTCTATCATGGGTGCAGTGAATGACAAGAGGAATAAAGCAAAGCTCTTGTCCTGGAGGGAGGTGTGACTTAAGTGCCCAGTTTCCTATCTTTGGGATGATGGAGGCAGAGCTGCCTTCCCTTCCTCCAGCCACGTGCCTCTGCTATGCTCTGGTTTATTGTTTCTGGTTGGCCCTCCCAGTGGCTAGCTTTCCATCCTCTCTCGGGGTCCTGGTCACCTCTCTCACGGTAGACTTCCTCGTCCTCAATTTCTGTCTTACTGTTCTCAACCCCACAGTCCCTTTGTGGCTACTCAGGGCCTGAGGCTTCCGACAGCACAGGCCCTTTGTCACGTTGGAGAGTCTTTGCTGTTTCTTTGCTACTTGCTTGGTCTCTTTTCTTGAAAAACAAAACAAAGTAAGACACAAAAAAAATAGGTGCATAGTTTGTGTTTACCTGCTGAAATGGAGCCTGTAGTCTCATTTCTTAGGCACTTAGGAAGTAAAATTTATGGGCAATAAATACTTTATTAATGGAAATTTACAAGCGAGCTATATATTTAGCTTTGAGTTGGCGGGGGTTTCAGAGTTCTACACAAAGAGGGATCCTCGGTTTGGTCCTTGAGTATAAAATAGCTAGAGATGGAAAGGAGAGAAGGTTTTCCAGGCACAGGACACAGCGTGGGCAAAGATGTAGAGCAGGAAAGGATTGGATGGGTTCGTGGACCCACGTACTTCTGTGTGACTGGAGCTTAGGGAGGAAGCAGAAGAAAGGCCCGGACAGTCTGATGGGTCAAATTGCTCAGGAGTCTGGTCCCACAGGAAAAATTTCTCAGTAGAAAAATAAAGTGATAAGGTCAGCATTTTGGAAAGATTGCTCTTTATGTGATAACAGCCCAGGTCACATGTGATAAAGGAATGACCTGGGAGAGTGGACACCGGGAAGGAGGCTAGGCAGATTGAGGGGACATGGTTGAGTTAGACTTGACAAGACCTAGTGACTGCTTAGATGTAGGGCGTCTGGAGTCAAGAATACAAGTTTCCTGCCTTGGGAAGCCATGGGTAGGGCAGGCACTGAGAACAGTGGCTCAGCGCCCAGCCCCTGGACCTGGGAGGCCAGCAGTGGAGTCCTGGTTTCCATAGTAACTCGGACTAGTTGCTGAGCCTTTCCGTGACTCAGTTTCTTAATTTGTAAAGTGAAGGAGGATTGCATCTTCAGGGATTAGATGATTTTTAATGTTTCTTGTGGGCTTTAGATGAGTTAGTACATATAAAACCTTCGGGTGGGGAATGGCGCATAATAGGCTCCAATAAATGTTAGCTGTTAGGAGTATGGTGGGTCATCAAAACTTAAAGGCACACAGCTGTTTTTAAACTTTTAAATAGTGTTGCACAACTCATAAATTCTTACCTCTTCTTCTGTTTCTGTTATTCTTCTGATATTAATAGTGGAAATTTGCACTATTTTTCTCTCATCTTATAACAACTCATCAGCAGTGTTTATGACCTGGATCCCTTGTTGGCTGTGAAACCAGCTCTGCCCAAAATGCAGACAGTGAGCTCTACTCAAGATTCTTTTTTTTTTTTTTAAGATTTTATTTATTTATTCATGAGAGACAGAGAGAGAGAAGCAGAGGGAGAAGCAGGCTCCCAAGGAGCAGGGAGCCCGATGCGGGACTCGATCCCAGGACCCTGGGATTATGACCTGAGCCGAAGGCAGACGCTTAACCGTCTGAGCCACCCAGGTGCCCTCTACTCAAGATTCTTAATGGGTGTTTCCAATAGAAGAGTTGAGTGGTTATCCAGACAACAATGGAATTAATATATGAATACATTTACTTGGAGCTGCTCTTGGTGTCTTTAAAATATTATTATACGTACATATTCATTCAACAAATATTTGTGGTCCACCTATGAAATGTCAGGAAAAGTGCCAGGTGCTGGGAGTCCAGAGCCAGGTACAGGAAGGCTCAAGTATGTGGTCAAGTGCAAGTGTGTGGCTCTTGGTGACAAGAAGTCTTGAGTTCAAGTCCTGTGTTCCCCAGCTGCCTGATTTTGCCAGGTATTTATTCCCTCAGTCTTAACATAAGCTGGAAGAATTGTTGTTGTTGTGAGTTGTATAAAGCATCTAGTATAGCAGTTGGTATACAAAGAAGCCTTTAATTAACTCTTGCAGTCTCCCTGCCCTCAGGAGCTCTCTGTTTGCATTGTTATTATTCAGACCAGCCCTTGTTCTCTCTGTCTGGCTGGGGAGCCAATGCAGGGGAGGGTAGCATGGTAAGTGAAATGACAGGAGGAACAAGCATTGGTGCAGGAGGACTGGGAGTTAAGCTCAGCACACAACCCTAATTGGCACAATATCTGCTACCTTTGTGCTGCTAGAACCTGATACAGGCTCAGGACCTGATGAAGGTTCAAGCCTGTAAGATCAGCTTGTAGGCATATTCTTATAGTGCTGCCTCATATTAACTCTACACAGCAGGAGCTATTACTGTCCCCATTTTGCAGGTGGGAACACTGAGGCACAGAAAGGTGAACCTAACTTGCCTGAGGTCACAGAACGAAGAAATCAGGATTCAGACCCAGGCACTCCAGCATCGGAGCCTGCGTTTGGGACCACTCAGTACCCTTCCGCCTTGTGCCTTCTCCTCCAAACTTCATTTTACAGCCAGTAGAGACTGTCTCTAAGGGTTCTTTTTTTTTTTTTTTTTAAGATTTTATTTATTTATTTGAGAGAGAGAGAATGAGACACAGAGAGCATGAGAGGGAGGAGGGTCAGAGGGAGAAGCAGACTCCCTGCCGAGCAGGGAGCCCGATGCGGGACTCGATCCTGGGACTCCAGGATCATGACCTGAGCTGAAGGCAGTCGCTTAACCAACTAAGCCACCCAGGCGCCCTGTCTCTAAGGGTTCTTGAGAAAATTACTCAACCCAGGAAAATTCAGGGAAAGGTCAAGTAGAAGAAAAGTAATGGATCTGGAAGAAAATACGGCCGAGCCATTTCTTTTCTCCAGGCTGAACCTACGAAACACCAGGCCAGGGGCGCCTGGGTGGCTCAGTGGGTTAAGCTTCTCCCTTGCACTCAGGTCATGATCGCGGGGTCCTGGGATTGAGCCCCGCGTGGGGCTCAGTCCGCGGCGGAGCTTGTCCCTCTCTCTCTGCCCCTCCCCCCCGCTTGTGCGCGCGCGCTCTTTTTCTCACTCTCTCAAATAAATAAAATCTTTTAAAAAAGAAAAAAAAAGGAAAAAGGAAAAAAGAATCACCAGGCCAATCAGGCTCCTTCCTTTCTTTGCTGGGTTTCCAAAGTGGCCCAGCCAAGCTCCTCTCTTGTGGGCTGTGCAGTTTAGAGCATTCTATAGCTTTTTTAAAAGCATCACATTTTAAATCGGCTTCACTTTCTTTTTCTGAGAGGCATTCGCTGCACTGTTTCTCCTGTTCCCTGTTCTCTGCTGAAAGCCCATGTGGACCCACAGGTGCCTGGCTTGTGCTGCCTTACCGGCACTTGCCACTAGAGGGCCCTACCCCTAAGATTCCAATTTCAATGCACTTTCGTAAAAACTGGCCCATCTTAGTGTGATGCATGAGATCACACCCATTTCACAGAAGGAGAATCTGAGAACCAAGCCCCTAGAGATGGGGTGAGTAGCTTATATCTTCATAGATCAGAAGAGTCAGAGAAAAGAAAGTGAGAGACAGGAGCTCAGTGGTCCCAAATCCCAAAGGCCACATGAAGAATTCCTGGGTACTAGTTCCTTCCCAGGCTTGTTCTCCTGGAAAACCCAAGGAACTCTTGCCTCTGGTTCTATTCCTCTCCCCTACTTGCCAGTGGGGCTGTAAGACACCAGCAGTTTCACTGGGTGAGCGCACCAGGGAGAAGCAAGGACAGTTCAGAGAAGGACCATGTTCAGGAGCGGTCCCTCAGCTCACACAAAGGTGAGGCATGCTTTTATTTTAGGGGAAGCCCAGCCTGTTCGGTGTCCCTTTGGAACTTCTCCATCCTTATGACAGGTCTCCTTATTTCTTCCTTCATGTCCCTCCCTGGAGTGACTGCCTTTCACTCACACCTGGTTCATGGCTTCAGGTGATGTCTTCGCTGGTCTAACTCTGAGAGTCTTTTCCCTCCAAAATTCCCTCCAAGAACTAGTACTTACACTGACGTCTGCATTCTGACATTTAAATCTTTTTTTTTTTTTTAAGATTTTTATTTATTTGCGAGAGAGAGAATGAGAGACAGAGAGCATGAGAGGGAGGAGGGTCAGAGGGAGAAGCAGACTCCCCGCCGAGCAGGGAGCCCGATGCAGGACTCGATCCCGGGACTCCAGGATCATGACCTGAGCCGAAGGCAGTCGCTTAACCAACTGAGCCACCCAGGCGCCCCTGCATTCTGACATTTAACGCTTGCCATAATTGGATTCCACTATGCTTCTTGGCTTCTGTCTATCAATACTTGCAACGTGTACCTTCTATTTGAGCTGGCTGGTCATTTTCAATTCTATTCAATAGCATTTATTGCTCACAGGCAGGGTACAAGGCACAACGTTGGCTGGTGGTGGATGCACAGGGGACTAAAACTCTCATCGCACATGATCACTCTCCATGGTCATGAAGTCATGGATCTTGCCCTTCAGTATGTACAGTGTGAAGGAAACAAATAATGATCTATACCGTGAGGCAGAAAGAAATGAGTTGCAGTGATATAAGGACCAAGGGGGGGAAAGGAGGGCAAAAAAAGCCATAATTAATTTGACCAGTGATGCCAGGGAGAGCTTCACAGAGGAGGTGACATTTGAGCTGAGCGTTGATGTGTGTGGAAAGGGCTGGGGGTTGGGGGGCACACCAAAGCAGAGGCACTCTGCCATCGTAGGCAAGGGACTGTGAACGTGCTCCGTGCATCTGGGGTGGTGCCCAAAACACATCACGCCGATTCGGCCTCTGCTTCTTTCTTGTGCTTTCCTCGGTTGGATGCCTTCTGTCTTCTCCATTCTCAGCCAGATCCTACCCTTCCTCCAGAGCGCAGCTTCAGCTCCACCTCCTTCGTGAAGCCTTCCCTGACCGTACTAGCTGCTGCCACTCCCCAAAACGTGTAATTCAGCATTTAACTGTAGTGTCCGTGCTTGCCTTGCACAGGGCAGCTAGACCAGGGCAGACATTATGCTCATCTGATACTTTGAGGGTCTTGCATCCCCCGACACAGTGCTAATGGTGGTCAGGGCTAGATGGCTCGATGGAACCATTCACTGAAACTAACACCTTCCTTCTGCCTAAATGCAGCTCACTTCTGCTGCCCAGCCTGGGATTGTTCACGCGGACTTAGGATTTAACTGGCTATGGGTGCTCACACATAAGGGAAACAGTTCTTCATATGATCACTTGAATGTTCTGCTCAGCCATGGGTGATTCCTCCTCAGCGCTGGTAGCAGGGGCGCAGGGGCATCGAACCAAAGCGTGAAGCAGTGACTCTCTGGACTGAACCTTAGTAACAGAGGTGAGGCGAAGCCAGTTTCATCATCTACACCATCATCTGCCAAGTTCCCTCTGAAGAATGACCCACTTCTTTTAAGGTCTCTTGTTTCGATGGTTGGGTTGTACTCAGCTCCCCTAAAGTGTCATAAGTATAGCTGGTCAAGTCCTTTTGGTGAATGGGGTACTGGGGACGGTCTCTTCTTCTTGCCGAGGCTGCTTGGAATAGGTATTAGTCTGGTTCTTCAGAGAAATGGAACCAACAGGAAACAGATATAACAAGGAGCTGGCTTGTGTGCTTATGAAGATTGAGAAATCCCAGGGTCTGCAGCTGGACTGCTGATGGTGTAGTTCTCCAGCATAAGTCCAAAGGCCTGAGAACCAGGAGAGCTGATGGTGCAAGTTCCAGTCCAAGTCCAAGTCCTAAAGCAGGAGGACTGATATCCCAGCTCTAAGATGGCCAGGCAGAGAGAATTAATTCTCCCCTACTCTGTCCTCTTCTTCTTCAGGCTCTTGATGGATCTGGTGATATGCACCCGTATGGGAGCAGGGATTAATCTGCTTTACTCAATCTACCAATCCGAATGTTAATCTCATCCAGAAATGCCCTCATAGATCCCCCCAGAATCGTGTTTAACCAATGTCTGGTCACCCCATAAATGGCCCAGTCAAGTTGAAAGCTTGGCCAGAAAGAAAATCTTATGAGGCTTCCGAAGTAGAGCCTGAAGAAAAATGCCGCAGCTGTCCAGTCCCTACAGAAGGAGCATTCTCCAACCCTCCGTTTGGATAGTGTGTCCGCACAGCCAAGAGCCATAGCTCCCATGGCTTCCCATGCGACAGCATGGCCAGCCAGCCGCCCCTGCACAAAGGTTCCTGGGCAAAGGGGCACGTAGAGACTGAAGTGCAGCCCACACTCTACTCATCAAGCCACGTGCTTGGGAGGGGCCGCATGTGCCTCGGGGGAAGGGTGCTTTTGTCTCATTTGTCTCACGTGCTGTGTGGACTGTGGAGGTCGTGCACCGGGGCTCCCCACGACATTGAGTATGATCAGAGCCTCCTAGGTGGCATGCCATGGCTGGGTACAGGCATGCAAAATACCAATCCTGTCTACATAGGGGGTTGCTGGGAAGGCTCAGCACCTCCAGTCACAAAAAAGTCACAGATTGGGGCGTGATGGTTTGCAATCTCCAGGTAAGACGTGCGCAGAGAAAGTCTGGGTCCGGGGCATCTGCCGGGGTATCGATGGTTGTTGAAGCTCAGTGTCCACAGGGAGAATGCTGGCCATGAGCTTAGATCACATTTTCATAGGTTCCAGGAGGTTTGCCGTCCTGAGAGCTGGTTTTCCCCATCTGTGCACAAGAGGGAGTTGGAACTGCAGGTTAACTGAGAGATGCTGCTGGGGAAGCCCAGCCCTGGGTGGTGCCCGGGACAGACAGACGGCACAGGGAGATGCCTCAGGCCTCCCTGGTGCTGGCGGAATCTGGGGCAGCAGGGCCTTGCCCTTTGCTGGGTCCCTTGCCTCTGCTCTGGTCACCCGCTTGCAAACCCTTGGGTCATCAACTGCGGAGCCCAGAAAAAAGCAGCAGGAAGGAAAGGGGGTATTTGCATTGATTTTGATTACAGGCTTGAGCAACATCCAGGCTCAAGCTACCTGCCTTCCTTGTTCCTAGCTGAGCCTCAGCTCCTTCTGAACCTCCATAACTGCACTTCACATACTGGCGAGTCAGCGTCCTGTGCTCTAGTTATGTGGACAGACCCAAAGCCCTCCCCACACCCTGCTCCCAAATAAAGTGGACCCAAAAGGATAATAGGAAAAACAATTGAGAGACGATGGACTCTGAAAAACAAACTGAGGGTTCTAGAGGGCAGGGGCGTGGGGGGATGGGCTAGCCTGGTGATGGGTATTAAAGAAGGCACGTTCTGCGTGGAGCACTGGGTGTTATGCACAAACAATGAATCATGGAACACTTCATCTAAAACTAATGATGTAATGTATGGGGATTAACATAACAATAAAAAATTTAAAAAAACAGAATAACAAAACAATTCTTCTTAAATTATATAATGACCAATCAATAATCGCCATCAGCCTTGTCTAGAGGACACGCTTTGAGATGCCTCAACCCGGACGCCCTGATTAATCCCTCTGATCCAGTCCTTGCCAGTGTCACCTCCCGTGTCCTCCCCTGTCCTTCAGATCTCGGCTCACACATGCGGCCCCCTGCCCCTCACTTCTTCCTTCCCCTTCCCCTCGTCCTTCGTCCCTCCGGTGCCCCTTAGTCTTCTTCTCCTTCCTTCCCTCTCCTGAGCACTGAGGGAGTGAAGGCCCTTCCGTCTCGGGCTCCAGGACACTGGCTTAGCTTCACACCCCAACGACCTGTGCACTGAGTTCGCCTGCAAGTCTCCTGCATCTGCAGCTCACAGATGCCCTCTACCGAATCAGCTTTTACTTCTCAGTTTCCATCCATTTGCAGCCAATTTCCTAATGTTTCCTCCCACTCGTTATTTGTTCTCATGACTTTCCCTTCCCCCTAGACTCCTTGGGTTCCTATGTGTCTTTCATGATGATTTTGCCCAACTATTAAACAGGAACACTGGCAAAACATTTGGTTTGCCAAGAGACCCCAAAGCTGGCTTTCTGACTGTAGCAGAAATGAGGATCCTCATGGACAGTGACAGATGCCCCAGACTGAAAGTCCTACCTTCCGTCCACGCATATTCCAGAGCAGGACACTGAGGCACAGGGTACTGTGAGTGTCGCAGCTCCGTTGCAAATTGTTGTGCGGGCTGCACCCTGTGCAAGTCGGCTGGCGGGGGAAGCGGGACCTGAAATTCGGCCTGTGTTCCACTTGTTGGTCTGGGCACCCGGTGTGGGCCTGTGTCTGTCCAGAGGGGGGCACCTGTTGTCTAGTTTTATTCTGTGAGCCGGCATGGCCCCAGCTGCTCCAGAGGCTGGAGTTTCCACACCGCACTTCGGAGGCCTGGGGGCTCCTGCATTTAGAGGCAGGCCCAGCATCCCAAGCTGGCCAGCTTTTGGATGGCCACGGACCTGGGAGCCGGGCTCCGTGCAGGTGTGAAACACCTGTGGGCCACGGCCCTCAGCAGTTGGTCCTGAGAGGGACAGAGAGGAGCACCGAGGGAACCAGCTGGCCCCTGCTTGGATGGACAGGGTACAGCAGAATGGCTGGAACAGACAGGCAACAGGGATAAGAAGTCAAAAAGGATTTACCTTACCAGTCTGCAATGTGGAATAAACCTTGTTCACTGGCTCCTCCTTGTCAGGGAGCTCCTGTAAAACACCCATCTTCCCCTCAGTGAGGGGCCCAGGCAAAACCTCGCCAGGCCCCCTTCCCGCCTCTGCCCAGCCTGCTGCCCCCCTGCTCCCACTCCCACCAGGTAGCCTCCTCTCCTGGCCTCAGCTCTGGTTCCATCCAGCCTCGGAGAGGGTCAGGTGTGGGGCGGGAGGGGTGGGTAGCCGCTGGGTAAAACCCTCAGGAGCCAAGAGGAGGGGTTTGCACGGTTCAGACTGGGTCTTGCTCCCTGAAGATTTTGGCTCTGTGCACCTCACCGCCCATCAGTCCAAGCACAGTGCTAGACAGACCAGGCAGACCTCTGTTGCCCAGCACTCTTGTCGACCTCGGGGGGAGCAGGCGGGCACGGGACACAGAGGGAAGCTGTGCTTGTAGAAGCCTGGCTCAGGGTGGCGGTGAGGGCGGGGCAGGCAGGTGAAAGGCAGGTGGGAGGAGGGGGTTGCCGCCGCCACACCAGGAAGTTCAAGGGGACCTCTCCTGGGGTGGCTCAGTCAGTGAAGCATCTGCCTTCGGCTCAGGTCATGATCCCAGGGTCCTGGGATCGAGTCCCATACGGGGTTTCCCTGCTCAGCTGGGAGTCTGCTTCTCCCTCTCCCTCTCCCCTTGCTCGTGCTCTCTCTTTCACTCAAATAAAGAAATAAAATCTTTTAAGAAGGGGGGACCTCTCTCGGTTCTGTGCCCTTGTTCCCATGTCGGTGGCCACCTAGCAGCCCTCCCCTTACACCAGGGGCTCCCTTGTTGTTTGTCCCTCGTGGAGGGCAGTCCACTCCTAGTCAGGCCTCTCACCTCACCCAGAGCCAGACCCCCATGTGGAAGCTGGCGGCCTCCACCCCTAGAGGCTGCCACAGGGTGACCATTGGCCATGTTCCTGTCCTCGTCGGGGGGCTCACGGCCTCATTTCCCTGACATGATGATGCTTGGTTGGACCCTCCAGATCCCCGGCCTGCTGCCCCGACTCCCTTTCCCCGGGGGTGGTGGTGAGGACCCATGAGTGGCATCAGCTCACCTTGGATTGGGGGATTTCATCATAGATTCTGCCCTCTGCTGGCGGGGCATCTCTCGTAACCATGACGTAGGTGTATATTGTTTTCTTTGAGATGGCATCTGTCACAAAGAAACATAGAAGCACGGTGCGTGAGAGGCGGAGAGATTTTAGAGATGACCTCTTCTAAGGTTCTCTTTTTAAGGTAAAGAAACGAAGCCCTAAAAGGTCAAATGGCTATCATCGTCTTGAGACGGATGCTCGGGTCCTGGGACCGCCTCTCCTTCTTGTCGGGATTTCATGTGCTGTGGGAGCCCCGGAGAGGCAAAGCCCGGAGAGACAAGTCCCTGCTCTTAAGAATTCCTGGGCTGGTAAAGGCATCCATCCCAGTGTGTTCCTCTCTTTGCTCCTAACGTGGAACATTTTAGGGTGAAGTCGAAAAGAGATGGCTAGAATTTGGGGCCTTCATGTTTCAGGGCACCAAGACATCCACAAATCACAGTGAGCTGAGCGGTACCCAGAGTTAAGTCCTGTCCCAGACCCTGTGCCAGACCAGGCAGGAGAGCCAGACGGACCCACACCCTGCCTGAGGCCCGGCAGGCAAGCCAGACCGAGTGCTCTCTGTCATCTCGTTGATAGATGGAAAAAGTAGCACTTCTTCCTTCCCAAGAGACTGTGAGGGACTGAAGACAGATGTCTCTTGGAGGAACCCTGAAGATCCCCTATGGCCTGAGTCAGGACTTCTCCCCATCACACAGCCATTTGAGTTAAATTCTCCAGGGAAGAGAATTTAACTCCTCCCGTGCCAAGCCTGGGCCGTCAGTCGTAAGCACAGTGCTGACGTTTACTGAGTCCTTACTCCGTACCAGGCTCCAGGCCAAGTACTTTATGTGGGTAATTCCGTTTAATCCCCTTAATAAGTATGTGCAGCACGTCCTGTATGTCTGGTTTACCACTGACAAAACATGCTTACGGTGGCAGATCACTTGTAACTGATAAACGGCCGAGCTGGGACCTTCGGCCCAGACCGCCTGCAAGGCACAAGCTGAGTCTTAACCAGTCTGCCGTGAACTCATCTCTCCCAGTTGTCATCCGGGGAAACTGGTGGCTGAGAACTTACCAGAGTTCTTACTGAAGGACTTCAAGAAGGAACCTGAGGAATCAGACCCAAAGGAGAGTCAGGAACATGGAAACAGAGGTTTAGCCCCTCTATACCCAGGCTTGTTACTGTGATTGGTGGGAAAGGAAGATTTGGGGAGATCATGGGGTTAGGAGGTATAGGAGGGCACAGTGCTCCTCTGGGGGCCTAAGATTAGGTTGTCTGCATTGCAGATGGCACAACTACAGAAGGATCCAGAGGGATCCAGAGGGATCTAGTGACGCCCATGGAATGCAAAGTTAGTACCTGTCCCTCTGTGACTCTCCAAAGGACATAGTCAAAATATGATGGAATTGGAAGTGGCCCAGGAGACCCTCTAGTTCAAATCCCATTTCACACGTGAGAGCACTGAGCCAGAGAGGGAAAGACACATGTCCAGTGAAGCACAGCTTCTCAATGGCGGTACTGAACTCACACCCAGGTTCTGGGCCCACCAGATACCGATGACACCAGGCACAGATTATGAAGCCCACTCAGGGCACTGTCATCCAGGGGTCTGCACTCTGGAGATGGTGAGGTGGAGGAGGGGGGATTGGAAGAAGACGGATTCCCCGGAACAAAGGACCGCTCTACCCCACCTTGGATAAATGACTTCAGTCCCAGGAAGAAGGAAGGTACATTTCCACATTTTACCTTCTGGAAAAATCCTACCTTGTCCTCTTTTGCACAAAAGGAACAAAAGTACCGAAGGCACAATGAGTATAAAGAGAAAGAGCACCGCCAGCCCGCTCAGCAGCCCAGTGTGGCGAGAATGGAGGCCTGTTGCAGTGTCTGGAAACAGAAGAGACAGTGGGACTTGGCCACACTCAGGGGCATTATCAAAATGGGGTGCCCTCCAGGGGAGTGCCAAATCTCCAAGGGAAACTGGACTTTCTGCTATTCAAAGTCAGCATTAGAAACAGAATCAGAGGGCCAAGTAGGGCCTGCCTCAGAACACCCCAGATGCCTGGCCTATCTCAGAAAGCTCTGGCCTTTTTTCCAGGCCCTCCTGGGAGGAGATGCCCCTGGGGGCGAGGCCTGGCCTCCCCACCCCCGTGGGGAGCAAGGCCCACCCAGGCCTCTCTTCTGAGTGAGTCCTGGAGACTGCAGGAGAGCTGGATGGAGCTGATTACCTGCACAGAGCTGCTGGGCAGAGATGGAGTCTGAGCTGTTGCTCACGGGGTTCCAGGCTGTGCACGTGTAGGTCAGCTCTTGGTTGTCGGGGGTCCAGAAGATTCGAACTACATTCCCCGCTTCCCCCGGGGGACTCCAACTATATGTGACATTCTCTTCTTCTTCCTCCACAGAGCATGTCAAGGTGACATTACATGTGCTGTTCACAGATGTCATTAAACTCTGCGTAATTTTTGGCTTCCCAAGCCGACCTAAGAGGGGAAGACGTGTGTCAGTGGTAAGCTGGAGCTAGCCTGTACCAGGACAGCCAACTGTTAAATTTTCAGAAAGGATTCGTGAAAAATGAAATTATAAAAACTTACAATAAAATAAAAAAATAAATAACATTAATTATATTTTTAAAAGCTAATGCATACTCAACATTCACCACTTTCTATTTTTGGGGGGGTGCCAATTTACTCTTATCTGCACTCTAAAAGTTATTTACATCTACAGTATCTGTCTTTTGTAATGATATACAAAGTCTTCCCAATTCTGCAAGTTTTAAAACCCAGAGGGAGTATTGACACCACAGAAATTGACAAATAATGGGGCGCCTGGGTGGCTCCGTCGGTTAAGCCTCCAACTCTTTGATTTCGGCTCAGGTCATGTTCTCAGGGTCATGAGATCAAGCATCACGTGAGGCTCCACGCTGGGCACGGAGCCTGCTTAGGATTCCCTCCCTCTCCCCCTCTCTCCCTTTACCCCCTTCCCCCCAAAAAAGAAATTGGCAAATACTCCAACTTGGGCTGGGTTGACTGCTCTGCGGAGTTTCACTCTAGACAGAAGAAAACAATGGAAGAAAGATAGCTAAGGTTGATTAAACTTAAAAGTTTTTTGGTGAATAGCACCAAAAAAAACTAGGAAATATTCTTCCAGCATTTGAAAACCGTTATCCAACTCAGCAAAGAGGTCTCTCTTGTTAATGTGCAAGCGAAGCTCTGAAATGTATGTTTGTTGAGTTACTTTTTCCTTCTTAGCTCACTTCATGAGACTATCAGCCAGCATTCTCGTTGGCTTCTTCGTCGATGACCCCTGTAGCCTGGGAGGTACGAACGTTCAGCACAACTCAACGAGAGCATTCTGTGCGTGCACCTAGCTCTATGGGGGGCACGATAGAGACCAGGGTATGTTTTATTACCTTTTGTGAAATCGTGTGCCGCACGTCCTTTGTATGACACACGCCATCAAGGACCGGCACACCGTTGCACGAAACAGTCTTTAAAAAAATTTTTTTTTTGGCTCTTTTCTGGTGTGTTTTCATTGAGTTGTTTTATGTTGTTCTAAAGTGCCCTTGGTGAAAAGTTAAAATCTCTTTAAAAGTTCATTTAAAAAAATATTTTTACTAAAGCAATCGAAAGGTAAACTGTCCAAGTTGTAGGCTAGTAAAGGGTTACGGAAGAACAATTATATTTAGGTTGAAGTTAAGAGCTATCTGGGGCCGGCAGAAGGAAAGGGAAGATCTTCCCTTTACCAGCAGATAAGAAAATGCCCACATTCTGAGTTGGTAAATTTAGTTCATTCTTGGCCAGGCTGCTGTGCTAGGCTTTGTTCCTTCTCCCCCAGCCATGTGGGAAGGATTCAGAAGGAACCAGCATGTGGCTTTCTAGTTCCTGTGGTATTTTTAAACTTGTCTGTGCCTGTGAGGAAGTAGAATATGGTAAGGAAGAAGCTGTAAATATTTTTCATTCCAACCACACCAGAAACCCTGGTCTTGAGAGTCTCTTCAAGGGATCTATTCCAGACCAGATTTAGTTATGACTTGTGAAAAACTCCCAGAGAAGTCTGGAGTGACCTCGGTGAGCTATAACAGTGATCTATACAGATGTATAGAGCAAAAAATGAGCGAAAGTGTGTACGTGTGTGTGTGTGCATTTCTTTAGAAACTGGATTTACAAGAATGTCCAACTCTCTGCTTGATATTCACTTATTCTTAGAGAAACTCTTTTTTGCTGGGTGTTGAGGTGGGGGATAGTGGTAAGGAATAGGATCCTATCGCATTTTTCTCAGCAGGAACTGAGACGTTACCTGCATCAGGCTGCTGGGCAGAGAAGGTCGGGGCTGTGGCTGAGAGTGGAGAAGCCACTGGAGACCTGGGTCCGACCAGGCTCTGCTGCTCTCTAGAACGGGGACGCACACAGCTTCACTGAGGATAATTTTCTCCTGCTAGGGTTGTTTGTTGTGAGGACTAAATGGGTTATTGTGCTTAAAGAACTCTCTAATACCCATCCGTCCATCTGTCTTTCTATCATCTATCATCTATCTAGCCACATTAATTATCTGTGGGAAAGACAAAACAAGCCAGCAACAGTGACCACTGTTGAGTGTTGCAATGCACTGCATATTGCTTTTACTCTGTGCATGTACCACCTAAATATGTGTGATCTCTATATATTTTTTAAAAATTAGGTGGTAGAATGCCAGACACATAGAGTTCAGTAAATGTCAGTTCCTGTATCACTACCTTCTCCACTAACTCCCCAAAAGGTATAGATTTTGTTAGGTGGGCAACCCGGCTTTTTAAAACTTGTCTGTGCCTGTGAGGAAGTAGAATATGGTAAAGAAGAAGCTGTAAATATTTTTCATTCCAACCGCACCAGAAGCCCTGGTCTTGTGAGTCTCTTCAAGGGATCTATTCCAGACCAGATCTAGTGATGGCTTGTGAAAAACTCCCAGAGAAGTCTGGAGTGACCTCGGTGAGCTATAACAGTGATCTGTACAGATGTACAGAGCGAAAAATGAGACTTTCCCGTGGTCCGCCCTACCTGCAGATAGTATAACACCTCCCAGAGGTTGAGGGGGTAACACCGAACGTATGAAGAGATGAAAACAGGGGCGCCTGGGCGGCTCAGTCGGTGAAGCATCTGACTCTTGATTTTGGCCTCGGTCATGATCTCGGGGTCCTGGGATCGAGTCCCTTGTTGGGGCTCCATGCTCAGCGGGGAGTCTGCTTCTCTCACTCTCTCTCCTTCTACCCCTCCCCCTGCTTGCATTCTCTCTCTCTAAGATAAATAAATAAATCTTTTAAAAAATGGTTAAAGTGTTGGGCGCCTGGGTGGCTCAGTTGGTTAAGCGACTGCCTTCGGCTCAGGTCATGATCCTGGAGTCCCGGGATCGAGTCCCGCATCGGGCTCTCTGCTCGGCAGGGAGTCTGCTTCTCCCTCTGACCCTCCTCCCTCTCATGCTCTCTGTCTCTCATTCTCTCTGTCTCAAATAAATAAATAAAATCTTTAAAAAAATAAAAAATAAAAAATGGTTAAAGTGTTAAATGTTGCGTTATGTATGTTTTATCACAATAAAAAAAATCTTTTAAAGAAAAATGGATTTACCCTATGTTTTCATTCTTGGGCATTTATCCCGGAGAAGCAAAAAGTCATTTCATGCAGAAACTTGTACATGAATGTGCACAGCAGCTTCATTTGTCATAACCCCAAACTGGAAAGAACTAAAATATCCTTTGATGGGTGAATGCTTGAACAGACTAGTCCATCTATACCATGGAATACTATTCAGCCATAAAAAGATAGATATAAACTACTGATACTGGCAATAATTAAGATGACTCTCAAATAAATTATGCTGCGTGAAAAAAGCCAATCTCAAAAGCATGCCTACTGCATGAGTCCATGTATGTGGCATTTGTGAAATAACATAATGATAGGTATGAAGAACGGATTAAGGTCTTCCGGGAATTGGGGCCCGGGGGTGGGGGGGGAACGCGGGACTCTGAGCGGCTGAGGGAGTCTTGCTGCAATGGTACACTTGAGGATCTTGATCGCGGTAGTGATCCTATCACGGCGCACATGTGAATTAACTATGCAAGCTACATACACATATGCTCACACATAAATGAGAGCCCAGACAACTGTGACATCCGAATAAGCTCCTTATTCCTGCTTTCCTATAGTTACACAAGATGTAACTTGTGTACAAGGGGGACTGGGCGACATGCACAAAGAACCTCCCTGCACGGTTCTTTTTTTTAAATTTTATTTATGTATTTGAAGGAGAGAGTGAGAGAGAGAGAGAAAGCATAAGCAGGATGATGGGCAGAGGGAGAGGGAGAAGCAGATTTCCCGCTAAGCAAGGAGCCCGATGCGGGATGCCGGACTCCATCCCGTGACTCCAGGATGGTGACCTGAGCCGAAGGCAAACGCGTAACCAACTGAGCCACGCAGGCGCCCCTCTCTGCTTGGTTCTTTACACCTCTCTATGCAGCTACACTTATTTTAAAATAAAGAGGTGTTGTGTGTTTTTTTTTTTTAAAGAAGTGCTTTCCATACACTATCTCACTTGATCCTCTCAGTGACCAAGGGAAGTGAATAATATGATTAATTATTCACATTTTATAGAAAAGAAAAACCAGGTCCATGGGACAACTTGTTGATTGAAGATTACATAGCTAAAAACAAACAAAATCACATCTTCTTTTTTAGTATTGGTGTATTTACATAAGGATTTATAAGTACAGAAAGATTTAGGGAAACCAATAAAGAAATAAAGGAGTTCTATAGACAGCAAATTTGCAAAACAAAACAAGCCCTTTATCCTCCCACAACTTACGGAAGACCTGAAGCCTGTAGTGCCTGGTGGTGGTGATCATCCCTTCGAGGGTCTTTGTATTTATGTCGGCTTTGTAGATGCCTGAATCTTCCATCCTCAGATTACTGATCTCCAGGTTGTAGTTCTTACGTGAGACATTTATTCGGTCATTATAATTTTGGTGGGTCACAGTAACTTTGGGTGCTGTTCCTGAGTCTCCTGGCGTTACAAAAGCAACAGATGTTTCAGAGTTCCAAACAATGTTGACAACTTGCTGTGATTTTTCGATATTTAAGGGGAAAGTGACTGACTCCCCCAGAATCCCAATCACCGTGAAGACGTCTGTGTCACTTCCTTCTGCTTCCAGACCTGGGGACATAAATAGAAAACCATATAGCCATTTCACTGTTGCACCTTTTAAAGTCTCCTGTCTCCCCAGGCTTGAGCCTCCCTGAAGAGCTGCCCAGATGCAGCTCATCCAACCTCTGGAGGGGTTTTTTGTTTTGTTTTTTTGTGTTTTGTTTTTGTTTTTGTTTTTGGTATTCTACTCTACATATAATATGTTATGATGGCTAAATTTTCTAAGGGATTTTCATTCAAAAACGGAGTTTCCAGTGAATTTCAAGGGATCTATTTCATGAAAAACATTCATCTAGACTTACAGACTGAAAGGTCTAAGGGATTAGAGGGACGAAGACCATACACCTCCAGAAGTTTTGAGAATTAAGTGTCTTTCTTTCCCAAGATCATATTGCCAAGTGATGGAAGAGCTGGGACAAGTGCCTGGCTGCTATAGTCTTTCCAAGAAGAAAGCCACATTTATGCCTTTAATCCCAGAAGATACAGGCAGAGAGTGCTTTGGAAGTTCTGGAGTAAATATTTCCCAAGCTGGTGATTTTTTTTTATAGAGGTCTTTTTTGTTTACTACTCTATCTCCAGCCTCTAGATGAGTACATGACATGTACTGGGTGCTTAGTAAATATTTGTGGAATGAATAATAAATGGAATTCACTTATGTGTTGCCTAGAATCTCTTGGAACACTTCAGAAGTAAGCAAAATTCATTTATTCATTCATACATTTATGAATGAGTGCATGGATTTATTCAAGGTCAGCTTTGTCCCAGATACTACGGCAGGTAATTATTAATCAAATTTCTAATACAAACGTTTGCTGAGCATCTACTCTTTTAAGTGCGATGTAAGGAGTTGGGGGATACAGTGGTGAGTAAAAATTGATATAAAGTTCCTGTTCTCAGGAACTTAAGAGTTGAAGGAAGAGATCCATGTTGATTGGATAACCACAGACGCACAGATACAAAATATATAGGTGACTCTTGAGCAACACAGATTTGAACCCTGTGGGTCCACTTATACATGAATTTTCTCCATAAATACGGTACAGTACTGCCAATGTATTTTCTCTTCTTTACAATTTTCTTAATAACATTTTCTTTTCTCTAGTTTACTTTATTGTAAGAATAAGGTATGTAACACAATGAAACATACAAAATACGTGTTAATTGACTATTTGTTATCTGTAAGACCTCTGGTCAACAGTAGGCTATTCGTAAAGTTTTGGGGGAGCCAAAAATTATACATGGATTTTCAAGTGCATGAGGGGTCAGCAGCCTCAACCCCTGCATTATTCAAGGTCGACTGTATAAGTATTAACGGTGCTTTGAGAAAGAATAGCAAGGGGACTTGACCTGTTCTGGGAAATCCAGAAACACTTTCTAGTAAAACCTGAAGGATGAATGCTTTTAAAATCTAATGTGGGGGGAAATGAGAGGTTTATTTTTTTTCTCTCTTCTCCTCTTTCACCTTATGAAGGTAAACTGATTTAATACCTGGTTTGTAAAATGAAAGGCAATATAATTATAAAATGGCCACCCTTGCCCTCCAGCCCAGTAACCCCTGAATGAGCCCACGGATTGCTAATGCAAACCTCTTTCCTTTCAGACCAACCAAGACTTTGCCTTAGGAGGACCATCCCAGGAGAGCCATGATGACTTAGTTGGGGTGGGTTAAGCACAGAAGAAGACGTAACAGGGTCATGGGGGAGGGGGAAACTAAGAACCCTCATCTACAGACATTTGTTAAGTGCTAACATTGTGCCAGATGCTGGGTTAGGGACTCAGGGAAGAATAGGATGTGGTTGCAGTGCTGAGGAGCTCACAGCCTAGAGAATAAGACCGATGTGTATGTAAGTAAAAAATAGCACAATCTGATGAGTGCCAAATGGTAGGAGCAAAAGAAACAAACTCTTGGGTGAACAGAAGGAGAGACTAAGGCTGCCTTCAGTGGCAAGAGTCTTAATTTACCGAAATCCAGCTTCTTGAGCATTAATTCTCTCCAGATGAACTGTTCCATTGGGCCAGTGGGGTGTGGTAGAGGGGCACTTGGTGTGTGCCAGCCTGAGTGTGCAGGTGCATGGAGCCTTGAGCTCAGAAGGACTCTGAACGTGCTGTAATGCAGCGAGGCGGCCTTGAAAGTCTTACTATTGTTTGAACAAGGACACCCCCCCACACCTTGTTCATGTTGTACTGGCTTCTGTCAATTAGACAGCTGATCCTGGTGCTAGATAGTCCATGTCTTGTGGGGCTTTTTAAAAGTCAGACCCTGGCACCTAACTGTCATTCTGCTCTGTGGATTCAAGTTAAAAATGCGAAGAGGATGTGGGTTCTCTCCTCAAGCTCCAGGAAGTGTGTAGACGATTTGTGAAAACAGAACTTCCTAGGGTTCATGGCGGTTCGGCGGCCAAAACGCACAGCGTGTGTCATGTTGTTTTTGACTTCTCCCCCATAGCAAGTCATTCAGGAAGTGATGCTGGTGCATCAAAGGGCGAGGAGACAGGAGCAGTGGAGGTCAGGTCAAACTGGAGAAAGTCCTGCTGCTCTTCTTGCAGCTTGTGTTGTTGGTGAGAATCCTGGGCTGCTGAGGAAAGGCCTAGGGCTCACCAATGCTCAAGATGCAGACTCGGTCGCCTCCAGGCACTCTGACTGTGGTCTGAGTCAGGTGGTGGAAAGACAAGGAGCCTAGTGATGTAGGTGCTAGCACTTCTGCTTAAGAGCTGGCCAACTTTCATAAAGCCACAAAGCCTTTCCATAGCCTCCCTCAGCAGGGAGTCTGCTTCTCCCTCTGACCCTCCTCCCTCTCATGCTCTCTGTATCTCATTGTCTCTCTCTCAAATAAATAAATAAAATCTTAAAAAAAAAAAAAAAGATGATGGTGGACAATCTTGGTAAGTAGTTGGAAAGATGAAAGATAAGGAAAGAGAATGGGCAGAAAGTATTGCTTGGGGGTTGTGGCAGAATCTGCCAGTTATTTTCCAATGTTTGTTCTCTCCTTTATTCTTAGTAAGAGAATGCCTAATTTTTAGCAGGGGATATGGTCACCCAGGATAAAGACTACATTGTCCAGCTCTCTGCTACTAACTTTGGTTATATGACTAAGTTCAGGTCAATGGGATGAAAGTGCAAGAGTTGTATATGACTGTTGTGTCTTTAAGAAGAGGGCATTTTGCTTTCTTCATCTCTTCCTTGCTTCTTGCAGGCTGGAATGCTATGACTGCTGCATCTCAGACACACATTCTGGATCAAGAAGAGGAAGCTAAGTACTGAAAATGGTGGAGCAGGAAGACTGAAAAAGTATGTATCCCTCACTACCTTGTCAACTATTCAACCAATGGAACTGCTGACTCCAGACTTTTTCACATGAGCAAGAAATAAACTTCTTTCTTCTTTAGGCCACTCTTATTTTTGAAAACTGTCACTTGCCATTGAACTGAAATCTAAGTAGGTTAGGAATCATCTGCAGAGAGGAGGTGATGGAGGGAGAGGTGAGTTATTCAGGAAAAGCAAGGCTAAAGTCCAAGGCTGCTTTGTGAACAGTCACAGGGAGGCACTATCAAAAGAAACTAAATAGAACAAGTGGCAAGAGAGGCACCAGTAATGGACAATATCATGGAATCCAAGAGAAGAAAGGGTCTCAAGAAGGGGGTTGTCATGGATGTTTAGTGATTCAGAGTGTTCAAGTGGAATAAAAACTGAAAATGGACTCTAGGTTTGTCCATTAGGAGGTTATTGATGGCCCTTGAGAATGTGGTGCAAGTAAGATGATTTGAATGAGGCCAGAGTGAAAGAAAGGGGATGAAATAGAATGGTAGCTAGAGAGGCCAGTAAAACTAATTTACTTGATTTTGTCTTAAAACAGAAGAGATTTCCTGCATATTTATGAGAGAGACCAAGGACATCTAAGGGGGAAAGGACAGTCTCTTCAATAAATGGTGCTGGGAAAACTGGACAGCCACATGCAAAAGAATAAAACTAGACTGCTATTTTATACTGTAAACAAAGATAAACTCAAAATTGGATGAAGACTTGAATGTAAGACCTAAAACCATAAAACTCCTAGAAGAAATCGTAGGTGGCAAGTTCCATCAATCTGAGTGATGCATTTGTAGATCTAGCACTAAAAACAAAGGAAACAAAAGGAAAAATAAACAACTGGGACAACATCAAATTAAAAAGCTTCTGCACAGTGAAGGAAACCGTCATCAAAACAAAAAGGGAACTCACTGAACAGGAGAAGATATTTACAAATCATATATCCGATAAGAGTTAATATCCAGTATATACAAAGAACTCATACAACTCAACAATGAAAAAACTAATGACCTGACTAAAAAATGGTCAGAGGATCTGAATAGACACTTCTCCAAAGAAGACATATAGATGGCCACAAGCACATGAAAAGATGTTCAACATCACTAATCATCAGGAGAAAGCACATCAAAACCACAATAAGATATCATCTTATACCTGTTAGAACGACTATTATCAAAAAGACAAAAAATAACATGTGTTGAAGAAGAAATGGAGAAAAGGGAACCCTCATACACTGCTGGTGGGAATGTAAATTGGTGCAGTCACTATGGAAAACAGTATGGAGATTCCTCAAAAAATTAAGAATACAACTACCCTATGATCCAGCTATTCCACTTGTGGGTACTTAGCTGAAGAATATGAAAACACTAATTCAAAAAGATATATACACCCCTATGTTCATTGCAGCATTATTTACAATAGCCAAGATAGGAAAATAATCTAATTGTTCATCAATAGATGAATGGATAAGGTGGATGTGGTATACACACACACACACACACATACACACACAATGGAATATATATAAATAATGTATATAATATATTACATATAATGGAATATATATATATATATAATGGAATACTACTCATCCATAAAGAAGAATTAAATCTTGGGCGCCTGGGTGGCTCAGATGGTTAAGCGTCTGCTTTCGGCTCAGGTCATGATCCCAGGGTCCTGGGATCAAGTCCCGCATCGGGCTC